TTTTGATGCAAATGGCCGCACATTATGGTATGGATATACACCATATGGATGTTAAAGCAGCTTATTTTTGAACACTGCCATCGATTATGAAATATACATAGAACTGCCAGAAGGTTTTGAAGAAGGTGATAATTATGTATGGAAACTTAAGAAGTCACTATATGGATTCAAACAGAGTGGAAGAACATGGAATAATTTAATCCATTCTTATTTAATTGGACAATAATTTCAATCTCCCCAAGTTGACCCATGTCTGTACACGAGAACATTTAATAATGAAATATTAGTAATTCTGGTTATTTGGGTCGACAATATGTTAATTGCATCAACCGCGCTATTAAAAATAACCGCTCTATTAAAAATCAAAGATTCCCTAGAAATAAGGTTTAAAATGACCGATTTGGGCCGACTATCATGGTTTCTTGGTATACAGTTCGAATTTGAAGGCAACACTATTACAATGAATCAATCTAGATACATCGAGAGGCTCTTATCTAAATTCAGCATGCAAAATTGTAAAACAAGAACTACTCCATGTGAAATGGATTTAAACACAATTATGAATAATGAAGATGGTATAGCGGCATGTGAGAAAGAATACAGAACATTGGTTGGAAGTCTTATTTACGTGATGACATCAACCAGGCCAGATATCTGCTATACGGTTACTAAGTTGTCCCAAAACTTAAATAAAACGGGGACTGTGCATTTAACAAGAGCTAAACAAGTATTACGTTATCTAAAGGGAACTAAGAGTCGGTGCCTAGTATTTCAACAATCAGATAAACCATTAAAACTGGAAGGATTTTGTGATGCTGATTGGGCCAACTCACCAGATCGTAAGAGTATAACAGGCTATTGCTTTAAGCTAGCAGACGGTAACCCAATAATCAGCTGGAAATCGAAGAAACAGGGAATGATTTCACTTTCTACTTGTGAAGCTGAATATATTGCATTGTTAAAAGCAACACAAGAGGCTATTTTTCTTAAATTTCTAATAAAAACAATTACAACACTGGTAATAACTGAGCCAATAATTATTTACTGCGACAATCAGGCCAGTATTGCTTTGGCCAGAAATCCAATAATACATCAAAGATCAAAGCATATTGACATCAAATATCAGTTTGTTAAGGACCAAGTACAAAAGAAAACAGTACAAATTGAATATATTCAATCAGGAAATAATATGGCGGATTTATTTACAAAACCAATTACGAAATTGAAATTACGGGCTTTCCTGGGCAAGACTTAAAACTGCATCCATTAAGTCCCTCTTAGGTCCTTATTAGTCCTGGGTAGGACGTAAAACTGCATCCATTAGTTATTGTCTTAAGAAATGTCAGTTCAGTTTTTGGTATGAATCCTTAGATTCGGGGTATAAATGTAAATAGTCCTACTTTTAGCCCAATCCTCTTCTAATGACCCACAGGATCACTCTGACCCGGAGTGATAGTGACTGTTTTAATGGGTCCCAGCAAGGGATAAAATAACAATTTTCCACTTTTTAGTGAATCTCAGGATCACTCTGACCCGGAGTGATAGTGACTGTTTTAATGGGTTCATGCTATGGGTAAAGTAACAATTCTTTCCACTTTTTTGTTGTGATCACAACCCAAACTTAGAATATAATTTGTTAATGTTTATTAACCTGAATACTTAACTGTGGACAAAGTGATATGACTAATTTTTGTGGATATTAATTTTCTTTTAATAAATAAAAAAAAATAAAAATAAAATGTATTTTATGAATGCTAAAAAAAAAAAATTAAAGTATTTGTTACATATTAATATTGACTTTACTAATATTTTGAAGGAAGATTTCATAATATACCCAAAATAAGGGTGTGTTGCAGTTTTTTGTATATATTATGTAACTAGTGAGCCAATCCAAATGACTTGACTCACTTTATCGTCCACCAATAAAAGGTTAACCAATCAGAAGACGTAGAACATTCAATCCGTTGTGTATAAAGGTGGCCATTTTGTTTACCCTACCCGAATGTCCAGTCCAGCTTGTCAGGCGAAGAGATAACAGAAGGACGAACTACGCTCTGCTACTTTTACCAAAATATCCACTGCTAACCTGAACAACGCTTTCCTACTAGATCCGAAATATTCACTGATAACCACTGGATTCTATACATTGGTTATGAGCGCAGACCACGACTATATTTTGACGGGAATGAATCGAAATATGAATTGTGGGAGACTAAGTTCTTTCATACTTTTTTCTTTATTCTTCCTTTTCTCTGGAAAAAAAATGTATCATTCTCATTTCATATGGATGGATATATATATATATATATATATAAATGTATTTAAATAAAAAGAAAGAACAGTAAGATACATAATCCGGTGTTCTTATAGATATTTTTATTTTTACAAAATAGTGCTCAATGTAAATTTACAGAGCATTAATATTATAAATTGGAGTCCAAAATTCGCTTGAGGATGAAATGGAACTAATGTCTTTAATTTAATTGCAAAATTAAATTCGTGGCTTTTAGCTTCCATTTTTGAAACATGGTTAGAACTGTGTAGCGGGGAAAAAACATATTTTAAATCAATTAATTTATAATATATATATATATATATATATATCATAAAATAAAGAACAAATAAGAAACAATCAATCTAACATAGGTAGCACCATGAGATCACTAAAAAAAGAGCATAGCATAAATAAAAGGGCCTTAAACTTGATGAAAATAATTTTTTATTGTCTAAATATTTATGTTATTATTTTTTCTGAGTCAGCAAAATTGACAGAAAATCAATCATGTCAACCATTTTTCCACTTTGCAAACAAAAATGAAATTCTGTTTAAAATACTTTTAAAAATCAATTGTAATTTTTTCAAAATTTACTTTAAGAAAATTATAAATTATAAAATTTCTTTAAAATATTTTGAAACAGCATTACTTACTTTCTGCACCGAAAAGATGTAGTTTAAAAATAAGACAAAGCCGGTCTTACGAATGATGTCAATTGACAAGTGACGAGCGATGATTTCATCACATATTGACAGCTTACATGAGGGAAAGTTATCGTATGGAAGGACAGAAGTGACATAATTATTTACTTTTAAGTGAACCAACTTATTTACCCCATTATTTTTAAGGAAAACTTTCAGTGCTCTAATTTTTATTGTTTTTCTTTTTTGTACTTCCAACTTTACATTTACAATGATTTATGGAAAATATATTATAAAAAACTAAAATAAGACTGTTGAGAGTGAGATAAAATTTCATAAGAAAGGTATCTAATTAATTTATAGGTACCTTTATTATGAAATTTTATCAGAAGTGTACATAAAATACTATAATTTTATGTACATTTATTACATTTTACTGTGTTATTTGTATTTCCATTCATTTTATTATTAATTTTGATATTTCATTTATGGAAAAGTGTCATAACTGAGATAATATAAAAATAAGATCATATAAATTTCATAAGATAGGTACCTAATACTTGTAGGTACCCTTCTCAGTTGAAATTGAAAAATCAAATTAACTTCTTCACATGTTTCACACGAACAATTCACAAAAATAAAGCCCATAACTGAGAGGAACCATGCTTATAGTAACTCAAATGATGTGACATTTTATTGTTTTCATGCTGATTCTGGTCTTCTGTACATTTGCACTACAACCGTTTTATGGGCACAAAAGCTATGTAAAATTGGATTTTTAATACATTGATAGTTCATTGATTGTAATAAGCTTTAGAATTTATGATCTGTAAAGATAAAATAACACTATTGACTAAATTGTACACCATTTTCACTAATTTTAGAAATTTTAATAAGAGAAACTTTAATGTAAAAATAATAAAATAATTTAAGAAATAACAAGTAATTGTTTTAAAAATTCATTTTTCATTGAAAAAGCTTTTTGCTTTCAGACAATATTATCTATATTCATAAAAGCAACTAAAAGCATTTGAAATTAAATAATATCTTTGTTTTATTGAGCTTTGCCTGTTACAATTCAGAGCTGATTTTCAGGTAGAGGTCGTCTGATTAAAAACAAAACAAAACATGATTTGCTTTCTTCAAAGCCGTGTGCTTTTAATATAATCACTAAATTGTATGGTAATGAATTTCTAGAGTTTTCATAAAATTATTCATGGGGAGAGGAGTAATAAATATAAAAAAAATTATTTTTGCCATGACTCAAAAAGAGGAAAACATATTTTTAATAATTTCCATCATTTGTGAATAGTTTCTGAAAGTTTCATAAAAATCCAACAATTATTTTTATTTTTACAAGATTTTCCAAATTAATGTCTGTCATAAAAAAAATGCGCTAAAATTTGCTACCGTTATTTAGTACTGCACAAAGAGAAATGTGTTTTTTTTTAATGAAAAATTAGAATATTCTAAAAAGGAGAAATTTAAAAAAATATTTGGTTCTTTCCTCTTGAAAGAACCAAATATTTTTTTAAATTTCTCCTTTTTAGAATATAACATTTCTCCTTTTAGAATATAACATAAACATTTGATGATAAAATTTTGTTTTCGTCAAGTTTGGGGTCTTTTTCATCATGCTATGCTCTTTTTTAGCAATCTTATGGCAGATCTTAATCTAACATGTTTCACTTTTCTTAAAGCTTTGTCAGAGATTGAGAGAAAACAGACAAAAAGACAGAAACTTGGGTAACAATTTTAGCTTATATTATGCTTTAATAATTGGTTTAATGTATATAAAAAATATAAGGAATTGGAAAGACAAAGACTTACATGGGCATCAGTTACTTTGAGGTGACAAAAGAGGAGAAACAGTTAGAAAATGCTGATGTTGATTCTCAAGTCATTTACAATGTATACTTGTGGTTCAAAGGTGATTAAACAATAATCTCTGGTGGCTCTACATGATTGCTAATTCATTTTTATTTTGTTTAGTTCAATGCATATAAAGGTAAATCATTTATTACAAGCAGAGTAATCAATAAAAAAGTAAAATCCAACAATCAAAGATAAAAGTTCTACTTACAGGTGTTTTTAGGTTTTGGCAGTGAAGATCGGGTTCTTTTCGTTCTTCCTGTTCGTTCTTTGCGTTGGGGTTTTATGTCTGGCTTAGCTGTATGATCCATATCAAATATACCTAGCATAAAAATTTTTAGTAAGCAAGCAAGAGTTAATGAAAATAAATATTCATTTCAACTCTATGCACATTCATAAAACAATACTTAAAATATATTTGAATAATGATATGCAGTGGGCTGAAAAGTTTTTGACTAGTCCCCTTTCAAAAAAAAGATCAAAAGATCAGATTTTTCTGTGGGGAAGAGTTTCTTTGTCAGCTCAAGAACTTTTCATCACTCCTGCTTTGTATATACAATCATATTGAGTGAGCAGAAAACAATATGTTTTTATATCATAAATATATCTTAATATCAATGTAAAACAAAGAGGCTTTAAAATACTAAGCATTTTGGTATATTCAAAATTGTATAAAAATTTAATTTTTTGTCAAACTTTACAGGAAGTAGTAGTAATAGATTTTTCTTTATAACTTCAGCTTTGAAGAATTTGCTATAACTATTATAAGTCATTATTTATCAATATATATTTATTACATTTTAATGCAGTGAAAATGTAAAAAAATAACCTTTTGCAACTCTTTTCTTATCCATAATCATATTGAACATGGCTGATATTTCATCACATCGATTATCATGGACTGTTTGCTCAAGCTCTGACCGTTCCATACTGAGCAACTCAGAGAGTTCATCTAACGTCTGCAAAAAGTAAAACAAAGTAAAATGCATCAATATAGAAACAATAATAGACATTAACATATTTGGTTTATCTAGCTGAAAATAGCATTCTTCCCTGGACCTCAGCTCAGGGATTTAAAGACTCATTCTGGTGCAATTTAATAAAATCCCTTGAGAAAATATTTAAAATATCCTCTTCTGTATGTTAAAGATAATCTCCTGTAATATATAGCTAGCAAATGTTAACAAAAAATGCTTTAAATACATGTAAAAGTAAATCTGCTTCTTCAACAAGGATTGTATTTGTGATAAGTGAGTATAAAGAATATTTTTGGGTGAAGAGGTTTTTAAAAATAATTGCTAATTTGATATGCTTCACTAACTAGTCAATAAACATATTTGTAATTATTTTCTATAATGAATATATTAAATATTTATTAGCTTGTAATTATAAGCCCCCAACAAGAGACAACAAGGCACAAGATGATCAAGAAAACATGGACTGAATCATAGATACTCATCTACCAAAATAAGATAATATATTTCAGTAATGGTGTGTGGTAAGAATCATTTTAGCATATATATATATATATATATATATATATATATATATATATGTAAGACAAGTTCTTTAATATGCCAGTTACATGATACATATATACATCTATACATGTCCCTGAATTTGCAGCATTCTCAGTTTTCTCAATTTTTCTAGTCATGAAAGTGTATAATATAATTATTCATTGAAATAAGTGATAGCTACTCATTCCCATCCAGTAAAAGGATTTCTGGGTAGAATATAAAAGGTATTATGGGTAAACAGGGAAGGATTGTCAAAAATTCTGTAAGTAAATAAAGGTTATTTAAAAGAAAAAGAAATTTAACTTTTGCTAAATTATTTTTAGCTTATAATTTGAAAGTTCTACAAGAAAAATATTTCTTGTGGAACTTGTATATTAATAAGCTAAAATAATTTATTCAAAATAGGTATAAAACTGACTAGGAAATGCATGATCAATGAAAAATATTATTAGTTATAATCAAATTTATATAAATAATTATTACTATAATATAATCTTGTATATTACTAGTGTATATTGCAAAATAGCATTAAATATTAGTTACAGAGGCTGATAAAAAGTAAAAACTAAGGATTTTAAAAATATATAGTAAAGTAACAAAATTTTAGTAAAGATTTGTAAAAGAGTAAAAATCTCATTAAAGTCATCAAGAGAGTTTATAGAACAGAAGAAATAAGTACAATAATATTAAAATGCATGCATAGATATAAATGCGTAGATATATATAAAAAAGTTTAGTAATTCAATAACTGATTTCTGAACTATAACAAATCTTTGATAAGATATATTTTATGTAAGTAAAATTTAGAAGTTGAAGAAAGAAGGTATTATGCATATCAGAAAAGGCAAAACATATGTCTGCATTCAAGCATTAAGATTCAGTTATAAGACAAAGATATAAAAAATGTGCAAATATTATTTCTACTTTTAGCTTAATAGATCAAACATTATACTGATTTTTCATAATTCGATTTTTCTAGTCATATGCTTCTATTTTAGAGTTTTGGTAAAATCTTATTTGGAATGTATACATTTACATATAGATTAACCTGATCACATTGACTATTGCTAAAGTAGCAAATTCGCTCTTCTTAATACTTGACCTGTGCTCAAACTCTTGTGTGTGTGTGTATATATATATATATATATATATATATATATATATGTATGTACGTATGTATGTGTATATATAGATGTATACAAGTACATGGATATATATTTGCTTACATATATATAAGTATATATACACATATAAATATATATATATATATATATATATATATATATATATATATACACACACACACATATATATATATACATATGTATATAACTGTTACAACTGAACAGTGAGTTTGATCCTCACTGGGTGCCCCATACTTTCTGACCATGTGCTACATCTAAGCCTCGCTTAAAAATCAATATATATATATATATATATATATATATATATATATATATATATATTTATGTGTATATACACACACACACACATATATATATATATATATATATATATATATATATATATATATATATATATTTACATATATGTGTATCTATACACACATATATATATCTTTTATATATATATATATGTATGTATGTTGACATATATGTGTATCTATACACACATATATATATCTTTTATATATATATATATGTATGTATGTTTACATATATGTGTATCTATACACACACACACACACACACATATATATATATATATATATATATATATATATATATATATATTCATACATGTTTCATTAAATAATATAGACAAGTGTTGTCTATTTATATTATGTAAATTCTTTTCATAACGTCTGATAAGCTTAATAACATTATCATTAAACGACGAAAGAAAATTAAAAAATATGGATTAATATTGTGATTTTCTTTCTTCGTTTAATGATAATGTTATTAAGCTTATCAGATGTATAAATAAATATAATGTTATTAAGTTTATCAGATGAATAAATAAACACTTGTCTATATTATTTAATGAAACATGTATGAATGAAAAATAATGCCTAAATACACACAATATATATATATATATATATATATATATATATATATATATATATATATATATGTATGTATGTATGCATGTATATATATGTGCATAGATACACATATATGTAAACATACATATATATATATATATATATATATATATATATATATATATATATATATATACATAAATATATATTAGGAAATGGACAAAGTCCAACAATTATTTTAAGACATTTTTTATTATGTTGATACATTCTTTTTTATAGGTACAAATATTTAAGTAAATGCTCTGTTTATAATAACAATTTCTCGGACATTCAGGCATATATATATCTATATATATATATATATATATATATATATATATATATATATATATATATATATATATATAGATTATAAAATAAAATATATATATATAAATATATATTATCTTATTTTTATGTCCTGGGTATGACGATAAACTACATCTGGTATCAAGTCTTCCCATCAGGAGATTAGAGGATTTGAGGAGCGTGGAACCACCTTTTAATTGATGTTGTTCCCAGGTCTGCCCTGACCCTGTTAGGGTCCCAGCTATGGGCAAACAGTATCTACCAGGGCTGACCAAACTCTTTAGTGTTATAGAACACGATTGGTCTAGGAGATGGAAAACTTTTGCATGAAAAGCCTGACGTATATTGTCTGCTTTGTCTGTGGCATTTATTTGCACCGACTGAGTGTATCAATAGTTCCAAAAAGTGTGGATGGTTCTGCACAAGCCTTCACCACTTTAATCAAATCACTTGTGTGGGTTTTCTGGCGGTTTACCTTGATTCATTCTTATCCACACAGTTCACTTGCAAGGTCTGCTGGTGAGAGAGTGAAGGCGACGGGGTCAGGTAAAGGATATTACTGGAAGGCTCTAGCTCTACACAGTGGCTGACCGATGGGTGATGGACGTTCTTTCACAAACCCATGAGCAATTGTGATGTCCGTGTCCTCCATCGGTGACGAAGCAGCCCTATTTAGGATTGCATTGCTTTCCCTATTATGGCTAGGGGGCGATAAAAGGAGCCCTAAACATTGCTTGCTCACACAGAGACTTGGCAGCCCGCTGCAGCTGTCTGGTTATCCAATAAAGCAGTCTTATAAAGAATAAGTGTAAGAAGAATTTCCATTTTGGATCCTGAAATGTTCGCACCCTTCAGGTCAATGATTCTGCCCCAGAGCGTAAAACAGCTCTTGTTTCTCTCAAGTTGAAGAAATATAACATCGACAAAGCGGCCATTAGTGAAATACATCTGGCTGGTAATTCTAAGCTTAGGGAAGAAAAAGGCGGATATGTATTTTTATGGGCTGGCAAGACTGAGAAAGAGCCACACCAGTCTGGTGTTGGCTTTGCCATCATGTCAGACCTTGCTAGCTCACTGCCTTCCTTACCTAAATGTGTATCTGATCGCATAATGGCATTAACCCTCAATCTGGAGTGCAACATCTGTGTGACAATGGTTAGCTGCTATGTGCCAACCTGAGATAGTTCAGATAAAGAAAAAGATGGTTTTTATAATCTCCTTCGGGATGTCATCTTCAACATAAGGATAAATTAGTCCTTACAGGTGATTTCAATGCTCATGTTGGCAGTGATTATGATTCTTGGAAGAGTGTTTTAGGTCACCATGGTATTAGTCATATGAATTCTAATGGATTACGCCTTCTCACTATCTGCAAGGAATTTGACCTTAGTATCACTAATACCTTCTACTAGCAACCCAGCTGTCGTAAGACCACGTGGATGCATCCTCGTTTGAAAGACTGGCATCTGATCAACTACGTCATCACCAAAAGACGGGACATAAAAGATTTTAAGATAACGCGTTCATTCCACACAACATGCTATCTGTCAAGTCATGCTCTAATTCTGAGTAAAACTACAATGCATCTGGAAAAGTGAAGGATTATAAAAACAACAGTGCCCAAGCGATTTAACGTACTGCCTCTTAAATTCACTGAAATAAAAATTGAACTCTCTGACAAACTTGATGCTGCACTTGATTCTGTAAACATTATCAATGATATTGAATCATCTTGGAAGGCTCTGTGTGATGCAACATATTCTACATCCTTCGAGGTTCTTGGCCTACCACATCATAAAAATCAAGACTGGTTTGATGACAATAATACAGAAGTTCAGCAGCTTATAGATCAATTGCACTCTTCTCATAAAGCATGGATTGAGGACATGAACTCATTTGATCAAGATCACTTACAAGAAATATAAAAGTCAGGTTCAACAAGCTCTCAGAGCTACAAGAAACTGTTGGTGGTCTGAAAAGGCCACTGAACACAAGAAGCTTCAGATAAAAAGGATCTAAAGGCTTTCAATGTTCGCCTCAAGAGCATTTTCAG